TTGGAAAGCGGCGGCGACGCGCTAGGGTTTCGGCCGGAGGAAGACGACGATCCCGACAGGTGGGACCCACCTGTCAGCGACAGCGCGCTCGCGCGGGCGGCTGCGGCTGCGGACTGGGCCGGCTGGGCCGAGGAGAGAGAGAGAGGGGTTTTGGGCCGACTTTCGGCCCAAAGCCAAAAGAGACTTTTTAAAACCTTTTTCAATTTAAATTATTTCTTAAATGCAATTCCATTTATTAAAAATACTTCCTTAGCTCAAATAAATCCCAGAAAAATCTAGGAATTATAGAATTAAGCAAAGTATTTAATGAAATTTTATCTGGCCCCACTTTATATTGGAATTTATTAATTAAAATTAGATCTTCTTTTCTAGGCTTTTAAAATAATTTCTAAAAATTCCATTTAAACAACAATTTATATATTTTGAATTTTTAGGGTGTGACAGGCTATCAACTTATGAGAAGGAATGTATGGCTATCTTGTTAGCAGTTGATCACTGGAGGTCATACTTGCAACTTGGGGAATTTATAATTCTAACTGATCACCATAGCTTGATGCACTTATCTGATCAGCGTTTACATACCCCATGGCAGCACAAGGCTTTCACCAAGTTATTGGGCTTAAACTATAAAATTTGCTATCGTAAAGGGACCAGCAATGCTGCTGCAGATGCTCTATCAAGAAAGTTTCAAAGTGATTCTGAGTTGTCCATCATCTCTAGTTGTGTTCCCAGTTGGTTGCAAGAGGTTGCTAAGGGGTATGAACATGATCCCTATTCTTCTGATCTGCTTTCAGCCTTGTCTGTTCAGCTTGACTGCAAACCTGGATTTCAGTTGCAGTCTGGAATTATTAAGTACAAGGGGCGCATTTGGATTGGTAATCATCCTTCTCTCTAGTCACAATTGATTGCTGAGTTCCATGCTAGTCCAATGGGGGGACACTCTGGTTTTCCAGTCACTTACAGTAAGATCAAGAAACTGTTTGCTTGGCAGGGTATGAAATCTCAAGTAAAGGATTTTGTACAGCAATGTCAAACTTGTCTGCAAGCAAAACCTGACAGATCTAAGTACCCAGGGCTTCTACAACCATTACCTGTTCCTGATGGATCTTGGGAAGTCATCATCATGGACTTTATTGAAGGTTTGCCTAAGTCAAAGATCTTATAACTGCATAATGGTTGTGGTGGATAAATTTTCTAAATATGCACATTTCTTGCCTTTGGCCCACCCTTTCACTGCTCTTGAAGTAGCCAAGGTGTTCATGTTGAATATTTATAAGTTGCATGGTCTACCATTGGTGATTATATCAGATCGTGACAAAATTTTTACTAGCCAGCTATGGACTTATCTTTTCTCTGCTTCTGGAACAAAACTTAATCTGAGCACTTCTTACCATCCCCAGTCTGATCGACAGACGGAACGAGTAAACCAGTGCCTTGAGATTTATCTGCGGTGTTTTGCTCATGCCAATCCTTCTAAATGGGTCACATGGTTGCACTTGGCTGAATATTGGTACAATACTTCTTACCATTCCTCTTTAAAGACTTCCCCATTTGAAGTCCTATATGGGCACTCTCCTAGGCATTTTGGAATCAATGTGGACACTTGTGAAATTCCTGATTTGCAAGAATGGCTAAAGGAGAGGAAACTGATGCAAGCATTGGTGCAACAGCATTTACATAGAGCAAATCAGCAAATGAAGCATATGGCTGACAAGAAGAGAAGTTTCAGATCTTTTGCAGTTGGAGATTGGGTATACCTGAAACTTCAACCTTATCGGCAATCCTCAGTGGCACTCCGAGCTAATCATAAATTGGCCTTCAAGTTTTTTGGTCCCTTTTAGGTGTTACGGAAAATTGGCACAGTAGCATATAAACTTCAGCTTCCTGCAACTGCCAGTGTGCATCCTGTCTTTCATGTATCTCAGTTAAGGGCGGCTAAGGGTTATAAAGAGCTTTCATCACTTCAGTTGCCTAAAGCTAACTCTGCTCTGCAAGTTCCTTCTCAGATTCTTGATAGCAGGGTGGTCAAGAGGGCTACCGATGCTGTTCTTCAAGTGCTGATCCGCTGGTCTGATTCTGCAGCCGAGGATGCCACTTGGGAAAACATGGAGGACTTACGCACTCGATTTCCTACTGCTTTGGCTTGGGGACAAGCCAAATTTCAAGGGGAGGGGATTGTCAAGGAGCAACCACTGTCCGAGGGCGCTAAGTCAGTTGCTAAAGACGCTGGAGATGATGCTGATTCCGGAAGGAGGGAAGATGAACTTGAAGCAGCTGAAGGAGAAGTGGTGCGCCGTGCAACAAGGCCCGTCAAGATAAACCAGAAGTACTATGGGCCTAACTAGGCCAAGTAATTAAGTCTAATTCCTGTAATAGTTCTTCGTGCGAGAGGGGGAAGAACTGAGTAGGTGAGGAAGATAAGAGAGAGAGAACACGAGGTGAACTCTGTCTTTGGCGACCATGGTGGCATAGGCGGCGGTGGCTCCATTCATGTCGGAATCGGAGAAATATCTCAGTAATAGAGTTGCCAATTCCTTCGTGCTCTAATCCGTGCGTTCGTTCTGGATTGCTTTTCCTGTGCGAGTTCGTTAACCGTCCGCTCCACCGCCACCGCTTTCCCTGCGCGCTGCTCTTCTCCTGTGCGCGAGGGTTTTTTTCCACTCCATATGGGTAGCTGTTTCTTTCCCAACCTAGGACGAGGGGGAAAGGCCGGATCGGCCTCGATTCAATCCGCGACGGGATTAACCGAATGCAAACTTTTCTGTGGGCCGGGTTTCAATCCGCGTCTATCCAATCCACGGGGATTGCAGCCCAATCCCGGCCAAACCCGGGCCAACCTAACAAGGCCTCAAAGGGATGCCCACTTTACATGTTTTTACACTTTTACTTCTCAAAAGATGTTACATACTTCCTATGTCCCAAAAAGAATCAACCTCTAGCTGTGTATCTACGATATAGGCTATATCCGAATACATAGCCAGAAGTTGGCATTTTTTGGGACAGAGGGAGTATATATCTATATATTTATCTATAAAAGTGAACGGTAAGGACCCCTTTGAATCGCAGAGTTGAAAAGATTGGAGGAATAGAAAAAACACAGGATTCTAATAGGAATTGAAGTGTAAAACAGAGGATTGCAAAACATAGGAAAAATACAAAAATGATCGTTTGATTGGACCGCGGTAAAAACACAGAAATCATATGAGAGAGATAGATTCAAAGGAAATTTTCCAAGAGGTTGGACCTCTTGCTAAGTTTCCTCCAAAATCTATATGCTATGTGTCATTCCATAGGAATTTCATAGGATTTGAAAAGTTTCAATCGTTTGAATCAAAGGACGAAATAGAAAAATTTTGTATGAAATTTGAATCCTATAAAATTTTTATATAAATCCTTTGATTCAAATGGGTCCTAAATCTTGAAACTTCACCAGATTGTTCCACGTAATCACCATTGGATAGAGAAAAAGGAGATGGCAAAACCGTTGGATTTGGTGGGTAAAAAGCAGTAAAAAAATGTTCTGGAAAATTCCAGTGTATTCCCTCAAACATGGAAGTTAGGAGTAGCAACAAACGAAATACTAAAAAAAGAACAAAATGCAGCGCCGAGAAAATTAACTGCATGACCAAGGATGGGCCTACTTGTAAAGCAAATATACTGATGTACCTATATAGTAGAAGAGTTGACTTTCTTTGAAAAATTAGCTATATAATTCATTGTTACAATTAGTCCAATTAATTTTTTACTGTGTTAATCTATCTACCTATTATATATTTAAAAAACTAAAAGTCCATTAACATCCTACAAACGCTATTAAACTCCCATGTGGCTCTCTAAAATAAGACCAAAGGAAAATAACAAATCCAGTCTATTTAAGGATATACTTAAAAATATGAAACCGCCTAGTCGCTGTCTTCACGGTTTTTCTTTGAAGTCAGTTTGATCTTGGTAAACTTTCATACATGAATCGACCTCTTTCCTTAATTGAATTCACTAAAAAGCCATACTAAATTTTGGTGTTAACATTGGGTATTGGCAAAATTTGCTACAGGACACTCAAAGTTTGTGGCGTTTGCTGTAAGACACCCAAAGAACGTGTATTCTCTCGTGGACACTGTAAAAATGTGGTAATTAGCTGCTAGACACTCGTCTCATTATTTTATTATTTTCGATAGAAACGGAGAGAGACATTGGTTAAAGACAGATTTGTCCATGAGCCCACTTGTCAATCCCTCTTTCTCTGTTCATCTTCTTCCTCCTGCGGCTTCGGATGGGGCAACGGCGAAGTGGGCGCCGCCGCTGCAGCAGCAACTAGAGCACAGGGCGGCGCGGAGCTGGCTGGGCTGGAGCACGGGGCGGTGCGGGACTGGCTGGGCTGGAGCACGGGGCGGCGCGCCGCTGCTAGGAGTCCTCCCCAGGGCTCCGCTTCGGATGGGGTAGCGGCGAAGTGGGCACCGCCGCCGTCGGCCAAATCCTTGCGCGGGACGCATGCCCCGTCCGCCATTTCCGCCACGGGTGGATCGACAGGGATGGCTCATTTTTTCATTTTTTTTCCCTTTTGAGATCCCCTCTTCTGTTCTTCCTCTCCGTCCTTGACCTCGCAAGGAGCAGTAGTGCGAGCGAAATCAGGGGCATACTGCATACCTACTCCCCTTGGGGCCCTTCCTGCTCCTGCTGGTGCTGCTCGCACTCGCTAAGGGGTATCGAATCAACGCCGTTTTCCAGTTTGCACACGGCTCGGCTTGGCATTGCTGCTGCTGCAGGTGTCAATACATACGTTCCAGAACGAGGCCAACGGGGACATCTGCTACACGGGGCTAGCATGTACCTGGATGCCATCGTGCTTGCCCTTGCCAGATGGAGCCGTTGGTCTGCTGTGGCATGGCAGTGTGAGAGGAGAAGAAAGAAGAACAGAAGCTGGAAGAAAAACAGTGTCAGGGGTGTTTTGGTACTTTCAATGCTCTTTCTCTCTCCATTTCCACCGAAAATAATAAAAGGGATAATAAAATAATGAGGCAGATATCCAGCAGCTAATTACCACATTTTTACGGTGTCCACGAGAAAATACACGTTCTTTGGATGTCTCACAGCAAATGCCACAAACTTTAGGTGTCTTGTAGCAAATTTTGCCTTGGGTATTTCACCACTAGTGGAGCAGAAGGACACCAGTTCATTCAAATATTACAAGCAGATTGGAATGAGTTATTGCAACATGGGAGTATATCCTTTATCTACCATGTGCCATCTACCAGTACGGCAGTACCAACTGACCAACTTCTAATATAACCAAAACCCTCATTCTCTTGGGCTCAAGCTGTCATTGTTAGCCATGGCCGATGGCAAGCTAGAGCTGGACGACAGCGTCGCCGTCGCAAGGCTGGTCGACGAGTAACCAACAACCTCCGACCCAACGGAGGTCATGCTGTCGCCGTAGTACTTCATGGTGGAAGCCGCGAACGGCTGCAGGTACACTGCCACCGGCATCCTCGGCGGCAGCACCGGCATCCTGAACTTCCTCGACTGCAACGCCTCCGCCGCCTGCCTGATCGCCGGCCGCGCCTTCGGGTCGGGGTGCGCGCACCACAGCCCGACGCCCACCACACGCTCCATCTCCCACCGGTCGAACGCGCCGCCGAGCCGTGTGTCGGCGATGGCGTCGAGCGACGACTGATCATCATCACCCCGGCCGTAGAGCTCCCACGCCCACTCCACCAGGCGGAACACCTGTCCGCCGCCGTCGTCGTCGTCCTTCCCACCACCCGCGGTGGCAGCGGCTGCACGAGGTGTCACTACCATTGGTCGCCTCCCGCTTGCCACCTCGAGCAGGACGATGCCGAAGCTGTACATGTCGGACTCGGTGGAGGCCTTGCCGGTGATGACGCACTCCGGGTCGAGGTAGCCCGGCGTGCCGGCAACGGCGGTCATGGTCTGGAGGCTCATGCCGTGGTCGATGAGGCGCGCGAGGCCGAAGTCGCCGAGCTTGGCGTTGAAGGATTCGTCGAGCATGATGTTGCTGGGCTTGATGTCGCCATGGACGACGCACTGATCCCATTCCTGGTGGAGGTACAGCACCGCGGAGGCTAGTCCATTAATAATCTGGTACCTGACAAAAATTAGTCACATAATATGATACACAGATACAGGGAAAGTATATTTGATTTTCACAGAGAATTTACATATGAGTTTACGTGCAATACCGCGCTTAATTTCGGATTTTTTTAGATCATATGAGTTATTGTGAATTTATAGCATTCTTTTTAGAGAAAAACTCCAAATTAACTCCTAACTATTACGATAGTACGAATATAAATGTGATGTGGTAATTTGTATAATACATCACCTTATTACTAACTGTTATGCGAAGATAAAATCGAACTTTCGATCAGAGTACTACTCATTTTTCCCCGTCCTTTCCAATTTGATCTATCATATTTGCAAATGTTACCGAGATCAACGCAAAAAATATCACTCCTTTTAGAAGTAAACCTCATCGGTCATGATGTTGTACTAGGCATGTATGTGGATATGAAAACGTGTAGTTGAATTAATGTGAGGTATGCAACGATGTCATTTACTCATACACAGATGAACGAACATATATACAACGATGTCATTTACTACTGCACACCTAAACGAACATATATAGAACAATGTTATTTACTTCTACACGAATAAGCAAATAGATAACAGTTAGATAATGATCGATTTAGAAACTAAGACGTACAAATTTTAGGGTATGATTAATTGGGATAGAGCCATAGAGGCAGTAGTAATTACTCCCACCTTTCAAATTATAAGGAGTTTTGATCAAAGTTAAACTACTCTAAGTTTAACCAAATTTATAAAAAAATAGTAACATTTTTAACATAAGACAAATATATTAAAAAAATATATTCAATTATAGATTTAATGAAAATAATTTGGTGTCTTATTATATTGTTTATAAACTTAATTAAATTTAGAGTAAAATGATTTTGATCAAATTCAAAACGAATTATAATCTAAGATGGAGTAGTTTATGGTTCTCGTAGGACAAGAATCATCAACATCTATCTATTATATACTAAAAGTTCATTAAACTTCCTACAAACTCTTCTAAGCCGCCACATAGCACTCCTAAAAACACTCCTAAGTCGCTATGTGGCGCTTTAAAAAATTTTAAAATCCGATAGGCCCATTATTTCTAGCCATTAGATCTATTATAAAAAATATAATTAAATTTATCTCAAAAACTCGCATAGTACGTGCACGTATAGGTATTCCCAAAAACAACAAGTACGTCCATACTTTGATACGTACACTGGGCCCACATCATTCCTTTTTTTTTCTTTTTTCTTTCTCACTTATTAGATGGAAAACCAAACTACCTATATTTATAATCGTCTCACTTTCCAGAAAACACTGGTGGAGAAATGCTTTCTAGTCCCGGTTCATAACCCCCTGTAGTCCCGGTTTTCCAACCGGGACTACGAATCCGGGACTAAAGATCGCTATCTTTAGTCCCGGTTCAAATAACCGGGACTAAAAATCAATCTACCTCATATACTACGGAATTGGGCCGACCGACCAAAGATGGTTTCTCCACCAGTGAAAAGACAAAACTTAATTATCTACCTCATATACTACGGAGAAAAACGATAAATCAAAAAATATATCAATATATTAATAGTAAAATCGGAAAGAAATACTAATCAACAAAAATCATAAACACCGGCACTTATTGTTGTCAATAGCCTTTCAACTATGATTTTGTTAAAAATAATACTATACAAAAATAAGTAGGGGGCAAAAATTATAACTATTTTCATCACCTCCTCCTTTTTGTCCCTCCATGTCCTTCAATGCAGCGTCTAGTGTTTACTATGCCATCGTAAATATTACAGGCATATACATATGGTTGAGTTAAGGTGGCGTCAGTAAAAGATCACTATAGGCAATGTATCTAAAGTGACATTCTTACTAATGCAATCCTTTGTGGGTGTGCTCATAGTGAACTAAGTGTTAAAATGGTGCCATAGGCTGGTCTTTAGGGTCACGGCTACGTCGATGTGGAACCAATGTTTCAGGGCATTATATAAGAAAGCTTTGGTAGATACAGTCGATGATGTGGAAATAAGTGATGAACATCGAGTTAAGTAGTGTAGATTATTTTTTAGTGTATTAATAATATATAATTTATTTTAGTGGTACTAATACAGTTTCATTTATTAAAAATGCACATAGCTTTTAAAACAATAACAATAGAGGAGTTTATATATGACCACGACAAAATGATTTTTATTTAAATATGAGATGTATTCTTATTCTTATCATATTTAGTAGTATATTAAAATATACCATCTATTTTACGGTAAATATATTTCTTTTTTATTGTAAGAAAATTTACATTCCCTTACAGTATATATATATATATATATATATATATATATATATATATATATATATATATATATATATATAGTGATGTATGATTTATTTTACCATTCTTTTTCTTGAACAACAAATAAGATGTCAGTGTATCTCTGCGGGCTTTATTTTCAGTTTATATTTTGAAAATGTTTTCTGATTTATATTCCATCCTTATAGTGTTTTGAAATACAATCTACGATACATGCCCACGTAAATGGGCGGGCTCCCTTCCTTGTTAATCATAAGAGATTTACTCCCATCCAGCAGCTCTCCTCTGTCATTTACTGATTACTATAATTTGAGTGACTTCAAATGTTCAATACCCTTCCCTATTCTCTTTTCCGGTTCCCAATTTAGACGACTAGATTTGATTTTGTACCTTCCGATACTATTACCTACCGGTACAATCCGCCGGACTGGAGCAATCATCTACTCATAATTCATGCACCCGGACGCCGGGACTCGGGGACACGTCACCATCCATGGTTAATGTATTTTCATCAGTCCAGCCAAATTGCCCTGTTGATGGAATCTACAGGCAGCGCTATCGTAAATGCGGCCAAGATGTGGGCCCCACAAAAGCCACTTCGTCAAGGTAGGAACACGCCTGATCGATGGTAACATGGGCACATACGTACGTACCTGAGCGGCCAGGTCAAGGTCTCCTTGTTGCTGTAGAGGTGGCCGTCGAGGCTGCCGTTGCGCACCAGCTCGTACACCAGCAGCAGCCGGCGGCGGCCATGGCACCACCCCATCAGCTGCACCAGGTTCCGGTGCCGCAGCCGGCTGATCACCGTCACCTCCGACCTGTACTCCTTCCTCCCTTCCATGGACGCCCCCCGGGTGAACACCTTGATCGCCACGTCCCGCCCGAGCTCCCTCACGTGCCCGCCGTACACAGACCCCGACCCACCCTCCCCGAGCTTGCCGATCTCCGCGAACCCGCCCGTCGCCGCCGCCAGCTGCGCGTACGGGATTCGCCGTGGCCCCGTGCCCGACTCCATGTCCTCCTCGTCGTCGTCGTCGAGGGAGTCGTCGTAGGAGACGCCGTCGTCGCGTCGGCGGCGTTTCCTCGCTCGGCGAATGAGGATGGTGATGGCGAGGACGAGGAGTAACAGTGCTATGCCGGCTGCGGCCACGGCGGCGCTGAGATGAGCCGTCTTGGCTGACGAGGTGGATGGCGGCGGCGGGTTGGTCGTCCTCGTCGGCAGCGTCGAGCTGAAGGTGAAGGAGAGCACGGTGTGGTTGCTGGCGAACTGGTCGCCGGTGGCCGCCGAGAAGCCTACGGCGACCTGCTCCGGCAGCACGCTTCGCAGGTGGACGGCCGCGGAGAGGTTGTACGTTGCGGTTGCGGCGCCGCCGCCGATGGCGAGGGCGACGTCGAGCCGCCTCGCGCCGCTGTCGTAGGACACCGTGGCGGACATCACGCCGGCGTCGACGAGGCTGTCCTCCGGCAAGACCACGTAGTTCCCGCGGCGCGAGTCGACGTTGTTGATGTCGACGCCGACGTGCCGGCCGCTCGGGTCCCACCCGTCCATGTGCGTGTCGAACTCGACGGCGACGAAGCTGGCGGCGCCTGAGGCGTTGCCCATGGTGGCGCTCGCCGTGTTCCTCGTCAAGCTCTGGTCGAAGAGGCCGAGGCATCCCTCGTAGCACTCCTGCGGCATGTCGGGCATGAACGGCGCGAGGAAGAACGTCATGCCGTGGCCGGCGAGGGCGTTGCCCCTGCCAGCCACCGACCGGATGGTGAAGTTGAAGCTCGCGGCGAAGCTGGCCTCCTCGCCGGTGGCGCCGTCCCAGAGCTGCACCGGCCGCTTGTACAGCGCGCGTCCCCTGGCCCGCGCCGCGAACTCCTCACCGAGCAGCTCGATCCGGCCGGCGGTGACCATGGCGTCGTCCTCCTGCCTGAAATCTTCGGAGACGAAGGAGTCCGCGTCATAGCTGAAGGTGAGAGAGGTGGCGGGGACGGCAACGAGCAGCAAGTGGAGCAAGAGTAGTAGTAGCTGCTGCTGCTGCGGCGGCCGCGGCGTTGCTTTGCTGCTTGAGGAAGACGAAGGGTTTAGGAGGACAGCCATGGAATGGTGCTACCGTACGTGGTTGCAGTGCAGTTGCACTGCCACGATGACTTGTTCATACGCCCTAATTAGTTAACCAGGCATCTTGACTTACTGCCACGATGATTTTGATCGCAGTTAGACAGTTCTCAGTTGGGTCCCACATAATTATTAATTTCCAACAAAAGTTGGAGATTACTTCTGTCCGGTCGCCTGAGGTCGACACCAAAATTCGGAGACCAGAATGCTCGCGTGCTTGCATAATGAGTCTGTAGAGTACTACTGCTACGGAGTAGCAAAGCAAATAGACAACCTTATTGGTGGGTGTAAGGGCATTCTCAATGTACATGTAACAATGGGTAGTAATATAACGGTCGGGCTCAGTGAAAAAGAACTAGCTATAACAAACTCCACAATGGTTAAAACCTATGGGAGGAAATAAGATGGGTCCCACTTAGTCAAAATACAGTGCTTCTTTGAAGTCTTCTACTACCTCCATCCCTAATTAGTGATCACTTTGACTTTTTTCTTATAATGTTTGGCCATTCTTCATGTATGAAAAATTAATGCAAATATAAAAAATAATAAGTTACACTCAAAGTACTTATGATAATAAAGCAAGTCACAAATAAAATAAATAATAATTTCATATTTTTTTAATAAGACGAATGACCACAAATTATAAAAAAAAAACTCAAAACGACAACTATTTTAGGACGGAGGTAGTATTACTCAAGGAATGAATTGACTCCCTCCTTTGTGCAGTACTTTTATTCTTTTTTTTTTCTCTTGTGACCAAGCCATAAGCTTACGGTCAACTTTAGCATTTAATGGCCTATTGTTACGTTCCACAATATTTAAGGCTGAGATCATTTGGAGAATATGGGAACAAATCTCCTACGCATAGAAAACGGAGTGGTCCATTAGCTTGTGATTAATTAAGTATTAGCTATTTTTTCTCAAAAATGGAGCAATATGATTTTTTAAGCAATTCTTGTATAGAAACTTTTTATAAAAAATACACTGTTTAGCCGTTTGAAAAGCGCGCGCGTAGAATATGCGGGAGAGGTATTGGGAACATAGGCTGCCGAACACAACCTAAGGCTAGTCACAAGCTGCCAACTCAACCTTATGACCCTTGTTATGTTCACATTGGATGCCCTATGTTTTCGTAAAATGATTTTATCTCATATGTTACTTATCCAATCGATTATTCGATTATACCGTTATTTTTGTCACAATTAAATATTTACAATAAGATATCACTCAAATATATTTCGATGAAAAAATATACATGTTTCGATAGTTGAAGTCAATGTTTCACCTAGAAACTGACTATGTTAATTGCATATTTTTTAAGTTTTTTATGTTGCAATAGTTATTTGGCTAATGTTTCACATCATGTGTATTTAGATGTTTAAATAAATATATTATGATATTTCACTAGAGCATTTTAAAATGTTACACGTAATGGTGTTATATGTTTCAGTAAATATTTTATGATGTTTCAATAATTATATATTAAATGTTTCAAGTATAATATAAAAATGTTTCAATTAGAAATATGGTATATATATTATTCAATATATAGTCATGTGAGAGCTTGTTGTACGATTTAATATCAAAGAACACAATGGTGTAATTGGGTCACAGATTGAATCATTAATTTACCATTAAAAATAGTTTAAAGTTTGAGAAAGGTTTATATTAGAAAAAGAAGAAACATGTTGAGTTACACATGCATGAAGAAATACGAAAAAGAAAGTTGTTGTATTAGCATGCATGCAGCAGAGGAGGAAAAATCAAGAAGAAAGAAGCTGTACAAAGAGCGAGCGCCCGATATCATATTGTTTTTATTGGTCGACTGATTTGTTGTTAGCCCCACAAAAGTTACATTATCATGAGTAAAAAAGTCGAGTCGCAGCACGCCACGTGACAGGCAACGAAATAAAACATATCATGGTAGTGGGGTTTGAGTATGCTATGTATTTGGGGTGGGTCTAGCATGGCATAACATCTCTTCATGCCTAATTATGTGATTACTTTTTTTGTTTCTTCAGTTATAAACCAAATCCATGCTGCCACACAAATTTTACTTTACTAGATTCGTTCAATTGGATTCTTTTTTTCAAAAAAAATATTGGGTGCTGCATGATCAGCATTTTTAATATCTATTAAAGTTTATGCACTAAACTTTCTAATTGCAAATATAAATTTTATTATGGACATGAAGTCTATATAGAAACATTTTATATATAAAGTCTATATATTGAAAGTTCATATACATAAAATCTATATAGAAACTCTATATATGTAAAGTCTATATTTTGGGCTTCGCATATATAAAGTTAATGTATGAAGAAAGTCTCCACAAAAATAATTCATATTAAAAAATTCCATTAATAGAACTATAAAAAAGACTAACAAAAGAAAGAAATATGAAAAAAAGGAAGTGGAAAAAACAAAAAAGGTTTATATGTATAGGAGGATCACGTGAAAAGAAATGGAAAACTGGGAATAGAACAATACCACTTCATGGTTCATCCTCTAATCATCCTCGTATAGATCCGTTTGCGAGATTATCGGTGGGTGAAAGTTCACTCACAAGCCCTACCGATGTATTTGTTGCTGGTGCTAAGGATTTTTCGTTGGTAATTTAAAGTTTTTTTCTTGCTAAATTCTAAGTATCCACAAAAATAATTTGTATTAAAAATTCCATTAATAAAACTATAAAAAAATAATTCATATTAAAAATTCCATTAATAAAACTATAAAAAATAATTCATATTAAAAATTCCATTAATAAAACTATAAAAAAGACTAACGAAAGAAATAAATATGAAAAAAGGAAGCGGAAAAAACAAAAAAGCTTGATATGTATAGGAGGATCATGTGAAAAGAAATGGAAAATTGGGAATAGAACAATACTACTTCATGGCGCGTCCTGTAATCATCCTCGTATATATAGATCCATTCGCGAGATTATCGATGGGGGAATGTTCGCTCACAAGCCTTACCAGTATATTTGTGGCTGGTGCTAGGGATTTTTCGTTAATACAAAAACGAAAAACGATTTTCCATTAATACAAGAACGATTTTAATGTATTTGTTTTGTGCTAATTTCCATTAATACAAAAACAATTTTAATGTACGAGGACCCCTATAGGTTGTAGGCAGATCATAATTGGTTGCTTCTGCAAAAATCAACCTCTATTTTCGCATGCAGCTTCTCAAGAGGCTCGTATGCAAAAATATATTTTCGTTGGTGGACCTATTAAGGGGCCACATGCAAAAATGAGCCTATTTTTGCATGCGGGCGTCTTAAGTGATCCGCAAGAAAAAAAAACTTCCTCTCGTCCAAAATTTTTTTTCTCCCCTCCTCTCTTTTCCCACTTAGCCACTTCAAATTTTTTTCACCTCTTCTCCTCTCTCTTCTTTTCATTTTTCCACACCCTCTCACCTTATCTCCTTACTCCCTCCCCCACTCATTTTTCTCTCCTCCTCTCCCACTTCCTACTCCACCGCTGGGTGGGAGTGATGGTGGCAGGAGCAGCAGGATGCTCCTCGGCTTCTCCTCTTGCACAGTCGGGCGGGAGCGAGGCAAGAGAGACTTGTGCTGGCTGGCGGGAGGCTCCTCCTCCACCGCCGAGCGGGAATGCGGCGGGCGGGAGACGTGGCACCAGCGGATCTGGTTCCCCCCTCTCCCTCCAGGCCGGATGTGGCCACTGCTCCGCCCCTCATGCATGCGGATCCAGCGGTAGCGGAGCGGATCTGGCCTGGGCAATGGTGGAGCGGATCTGGCACGTCCACATGCAAAAATTGATTTTAGCCAAACGGAAAAAATCAATCTGTATACATCACTCAGCTTTGGTTTTAAACAAACCATTGTACAAGGAACTAATACTTCATCCTCGGAGTATTTTGCCTTGTGGGTAATGGCCTAGCTACTCCTTCCTATGTTGATTATACCATTTTTGAAAAAAAAATTAACAATGTAACAGAACGATAAGTCATGGTAAAAAAATACTACAGTGGGCAAAATAATAATACTTAATTTGATAGGTGAAAAAGAAACTATAGTAATAGTATATAAAGTCCCAGGACCACAAAAATCTAGCCTTTACATTTTATATTTTATGATAAATTAGTGCAAAGACAAAATTCTTGTACTACGGGCAGAGGGAGCAGCTGAATTTATCCATAGATGATGTGGATGGCCTCGCCTTCTACTCTTGACTAGTGTAGCAAGGAAAATTTATACTAGTCCAAGTCTAGTTTTATTCCATAGTTGGATTGAGAAGTGTTAGGTTGGACTTGCATGCCTTTTCTTATTAACACGCGAGTTTTTTCTACACGTAGCCATCGATCAAATGGATATATACCATCTTTGTTTCTTCCTTTCTTATTTTCTTTCATTTTTTCTACAACGGAGGCATCTGTTCTTTTGAAGGGCCTGAATCCCGCGACCCACTCACGTGGATAGGCCGAGAGTCCGGATTTGGGCCAGGTTCACGGCCTGTGTGTTAAACAGGTTCACCCTACTGATCGGTTTATAAAAAACGAATAAGCTCATCTGAGATCTCTTAACTTGTCGACGAATCCGATTTCCGTCCCTCAGCTGGAAAACCAAACACAACGGTCCCTTAACTATCAAAACCGGTGCAGATAAGATCCCTTGGCAGTTTTGAGGGCGGTTTTAGCTGACGTGGCGCCTACGTGGCTAATTTGACTTGGTCTTCATCTGACGTGGCACTGATGTAGCGCCTACGTGGCAATTTAATCTGGAAAAATAATAAAACCCATGGGACCCACATGTCAGCTCCACACATAAAATAATAAAAAATGGTGGGACCCACGTAGGCTCCACATGTGATCCTCTCTCTCCCCTCTTCTCCCTATCCCTTCTCTCTCTCCGGCTGATGGAGAGGGGCGAGCGGCGGTCGGCAGAAGCGGGCGTCGCGCGGGGAGGAGCTGGGCGGGCAGCGGCCGACGGCGGGTGTTGGTATTTCTTACGTCCACAGATAAATCCGCAAGAGCACGGAATACCACTGTAGCACTTAACCTTCGGGTGACCCCAAAAGGATATCGAACTCAGGGAACGCGTATAATCTACCTAAGGCTAAGGCTATCCAAGGACAACAACTGATGGTAGGTAGGCTAGAGAGGACTTTCTATGAGTGTTAATTATATAAGCTAAGCAAAGGTAATTTTCTATCTGTTGCTTCGGGCACCGACCCCTGCTGGTCTGCCAGCGTGGTTCCGGCTATAGCTTTATGATGTATCCGAATATGGAGGATTACTGGGACGGAATTTAAGGCTGTCACCACCTGCCGCCTATCTCTGACAAATCCGTGGGAAGGTAATCTCTAACCTAGACACCACGTCTAAGTTATTAATTACTACTCTAATACTTGCGCAGGAACTTCCTTCTCTATCCAGAGTCCTAGTACTAGAGCACTTAGTACAAATACTAAACAATGAACCCGCAGAGATGGAAATCTTATTTTACTTAGACAAAGTAATTAAATAACATAAGAAAGGAACACGAATACTTACTTTATAGAAGAAGTTCTCCGAACCTGGAGCAGAGTGTACCGACAGCTCCGGTACTCCTCCGGAATTCCTCCTAAGAAGCTACACTCATCGAGGTAGAAGTCGGATGAGCGCCAAACTTCCGGGCACTCCTCGAGAGCTTCCCCTCACTCTCTACCTTATTCTAATGAACAAAAGATACAATAGAGTCTCTTGTAATTCAGCTCAAAGTTGTGTGTTGGAAATGAGAGTAGGCTCCTCCTTTTATAGGCAGGTATGACTGTTACAGCCTATGCGAAATAACCAAGCTACCCCGGAACCACCATCAGGAAGTAATCAGGGCCGTCCACGTCGAATCTCGCGATCAACAGCCTCATAAGTGGTTCGGCCGAACCCAGGAGGGCTCCGTTGGACCTGTTTTTCCTCCTGGACACTAATTTTGAGACCCTCAGCCCATTGGCATGATGGTTGGGCCCATTTGCAGTTTTTTAATTGACTTATGGGGCCTCCAATACGTGTAAATGTATCCTGAATGCACAGAGGTGCAGTTTGTCGCTCGACGGATGTGTTTTCTTCTCAAAATACCTGTATATACATATTTCACCAACACTAGTGGAAATAATTAGTAATAATCCTTACCACTAAGTTGGACACCATGTTTTATTTCATTATATACAAGTATTGATAGTCAGATATTATGATTTAAGGAAAATAAGTAAGAAGGAGCAGTAGTAGTAGGAAGCCTTAAGTGACTTCGTTCATTTACGTTGAGATAGACGAGTAACTACCTTTTTCTATTTTAGTCACCGTGGTGGGCAGCCATCACGATGAGCGATTGCTGTTCTTCCAGCAGCGCCTTCTTCCTGTTTTCAAGAATGCGGATTTGGTTCTGAACAAGAACTATATCATCTTGTATGATCACTGCTGGATCGACGAAAGCCAGAAATAAAGGCTCCCCGAGGACACCCAGCATTTGCTCTAGTTCGAGCTTAGTGTTTTCTATATCAGCGATTTCTTGAGGAATCGCTGATAGTCTTGCAGCGATATCCATGGCTTTGACTCTTTCTTTCTTGTCCCGCAAAATATAGAGTGCGCCGAAGCTTCTATTTATAGGCGAGCCTATTCTTTAGCAGAAGAATTTCTTATTAGAAGTCCTTTTTTTAATAGACTGTAACATAGATAATTTGCCCAGAATTCATGTCCTCCATTAGTGCGAAAAAGAATGAATCCCTTGAGTCCGGCCCCCCCCCGGGTATCGACACGCGGGACAGCGGGCTAGGTCAGGTCCGCGGCACGCGGGGCCATAGAGCGCAGACGGCGGCGACTGCCGGCGTTGTGCAGAAGGGCGTCGGCGGCATCGGCAGGAGCATCTCCTCTGAGTACTGAAACCACGACGCCGACCCATCCTCCGCCATCGCCATCGCCATCATCGTCGTCCTTTCCGGCCTCGGTGGCTTCCGCGGCGCCTGTCTGCATGACGACGTGGCCATTGCAGTGCTCAGATCATCAGGAAAAAGCCAAGATAAGAGAGATATTCTTCTTTTCTTTTCTCAAAAGAGATTCACCATCAGGAAGGATGATCACTTGAGCACTAGCACTATATACCAGTATGCATGCATGGACGATCAATCGATAAAGAAGAAGAAGAGAACTGAACAGTAAATTCAGGATTGGGGTGCCAAAATGTGTGGTGGGTGAGAGGGGAAACCTCCAACCTCAGATAAAAACTATAATATCTATGAATCTATCTATCCAGTTGACTTGTTGAAACACACAGCAACAACACACAAAACCAAACAAAAGACAAGAAGTAGAAGAAAAAGAGATATGGATATAGTCATGTAGTAGTACAAAAGAAACAAGAAACTCCATCTACCTTTGCTGATTGATTCTGAATCTGGTTGTTTCAGATATATAACTGTAATCTGAAAAAAGCCTCTGCTTCCTGGTGATCAGCTCACACCTGCAGCTCTCTCTCTCTCTCTCTGAGCTGAGCTGAGCTGAGATGACAGGAGATGAGCTGAGCTGAGGTGTGAAGTGAGTAGAAGTAGAGAAGGAGATGCTAGTTGCAATTGCGAAAGAACAAGGGCACTGTGTCTTTTTAACAGGGCAAGATGATGCAGAAACAGCAACAGCAGAAGCAGAAGCAGCGCCGTGGGTGAACTGGAGGATTCCCTGCGGCCAGCCATTCTCCTGCAGCGCCTCCTTCTTCGCGGGGAGGGCGGCGATGGCGGCCTCCATCTCCCCCATCGTCATTCGGATTGCCGGCGGCGGCGGCGGCTAGCCCCGGCCCCGCGGCGAGGTCCGTCGCGACGCCCGATGCAGCCCCGCCCTGCTCCACCGGCCAGCCGCTCCGTCCCGCCTGTCGCCCGCTTTTGCCAGCCGCCGCTCGCCCTGCTCCATCGGTCGGAGAGAGAGAACGGATAGAGAGGAGGGGAGAGAGAGAATAGAGAGAGGAGGGAGGAGTGAGGATGACATGTGGGGCTCACGCAGGTCCTACGATTTTTTTTATTATTTCGTGTGTGAAACTGACATGCGGGTCCCACGGGTTTTATTATTTTTCTGGATCGAATTGCCACATAAGCGTCGCGTCAGATGAAAACCGAGTCAAATTAGCCATGTAGATGTCACGTTAACCAAAACCGTCATCAAAACCACCGAGGGACCTCATCTGTACCGGTTATGATAGTTGAGGGACTCATTGTGTATGGTTTTTCAGTTGAGGGACGAAAATCGGATTCGTTGACAAGTTAAGGGACCTCAGATGAACTTATTCCTTATAAAACCGAGCCGTTTTAGTTGGTATCCCTATAAATGTCGTTTGGTTTCCACTGGTTTTTCTCAGTTTTCGGCAAATCAATTTGAACAGATTTTCTCCTCGAAATGGTAATTAAGGTAATTATCCATAAAATTTTGTATTTCTCGGACAACTCTCTACACGAATTATTGAACTGTCAAATCGAATAATTTTCAACTAAAATTGTAAAATTTTCAAACTCAAATATAAGAACTTTCATGTTCATAATTACCTGGGGAGAGTTGAAAGTTTAGTTTAGATTAACCCATCAGAGAAGGCCGGCCTGCATTCCGGACGCATGCATGTTACGAGGAATAAGTCCACTTTCCGGCTGTAATTTTTATCTCGAATTTAATTTGCATCCCTAAACCGCAATACCCCCAACTTACAAAAACAGTTCAAATTAAGTCCTCTAATAGTATGGAAGGTTAGTTTTACTGATATGGCAATTTGACCTAGTCCACTCATGTTGACTAGACTCTTACGTACGTGACAAAAATGAAAGTGGCCCAACCTATCATTCTAACTCTCCTACTCCTACCTTCTCTCTTCCCCCTGCTCTCTCTGTGGTCTCCTCTCTCCCTCCTCCCCTCTCTCTCCCCTGCACTCAGTCTCTCCTCCATCAAGGCATCACGGTGGTGATGACGAGGTGAATGGCGGAGGTGGCGCCATGTGGTGGTGTAGCGGTGTAGATTGGAAAGACAATGGTTCCGACATGAGTCCAGACCAGCGGTGTCGAGGCTGAAACTCCTTGGTTGACGCCGGTGTTGGTACTGCCGTCAGGATGGTTTGAAGTTGTATTGGCAGATCCTTAAGCACCAAGCCCTCCCTACCTGGCGCGTCACTGTCGACGAGTAATACTCATGGACCGGATGATTTGAGTATTGGGGTACGTTGGAACAGGGATTTGCGTTGTATGACATCAAACAAGCAAAAGAGACAGATTATACTGGTTCAGGCCCCTCGATGGGTAATAGCCCTAGTCCAGTTAGTATGGGATTATATGAAAATACCACATATTACAAAGAAGTAGACGAAACTGACGATTCCGACGAGATTGTAATCGATGGGGATCAACGAGATCTCACGGCCACTTGGCTCCGAGTACTCCGGCTTCGTAAACTATGATGGGTGTGTTGGCGGTTTTGGTCGATCTCTTCCACCCACGCCTAGGGGTTCCTTTTATAGCGTGGATCATCTTAATCTCTAAGTCAAACCTCGAGACATCGGATCTGGTACGATATAACATAAACCTTATCCTCTCCAAGTAGAACTTTGGAAATCACTTGACTCGTGGAGATATTTTCCATAATTAGAGATAAACTTTCTTAATGTATACGTGAACGAACCGAATGCGCGAAGGTATACCGTATATGTATATTCGATGAGTCGTAGGATAGGAGGCATGCCTTATCCGTAAGCTTGACAGCAGCCATGGCGGCGAGGAGGTGGGCTGAGGGCGTATATTCGATGAGTCGTAGGATAGGAGGCATGCCTTATCCGTAAGCTTGACAGCAGCCATGGCGGCGAGGAGGTGGGCTGAGGGCGTCGGCTGCGGCCTGTGGCAGCGACGGGAAGGCAAGACGAGGCGACGCCAACTAGGGGTGTCGAGGAGGTAGTGGTGACGATGCAGCACTAGTTGTGGGGGCGGCGACGAGGCACCAAGCAATGCTCTAGCCGATGATGTGGTAGCCATATCTGGCAAAGGCCACCAGGTTAACCCTCCCCACCGGTAGCATGTAAGGCCGCAGTTGCTCCGCCTCAACACCTCGTTTCACGCGCTTCAACCAGCCTTCACCCTTCATGCAGGACGGATCCAAGAGGTAGGCTTCATCAGGCTCGAGCCTACCATCTGATTTTTGCAAAAAAAAAATTAATTATATAGCATCTATCCCATGGGAGTAGCTGGAGAAGGCTTGGAGAAGAGAAGAGGTGAAGAACTGTCTCTGTTGGCGCGAGGAAGAAGATCAGGAGCGATGGAGGTAGCTGAACCGGTACGCAGTATGCATAAAATGGCCCATTTATCACTTTAGCAAAAGCCCACTTGGCCCATTTGTCTATTTTATCCATTGACTTAGGGTTTTGGAGTCTGGAGGCTGCGTGGGCGTGGCTGCTGGCCTTGGCTTTGCCCTGTGGGGATTTTTTTTTGTGGAAAAAGTACACCGAAGGTCCCTCAACTTGTCATCGAGTTACAAAATCGTCCCTAACCATAAAACCATATATATGACATCTCTCAACTTACAAAACCGTTCACTTAATGTCCTTAAATGGTTTTGACCCCGGTTTTATCCGACGTGGCAGCTGAGTCAGCGTGGGACCCACGTGAGCCCCACATGTTAGGATTCAGCACCCTCTCTTTTCCCCCTCCCCTTCCTTCCTCCTCTCTCTCTCTCTAACTTTTTCTCTTCTCCGGGCAATCCGGCTGGCGGGTGGGGAGAAGGTCACTGGAGCGAGGTGGGAGGAGGTCCGGCGGCCGGTGGCGACACGGACGCGGTTACATAGTATTTCCCTCCGGAATAACGCGGCGGCGGCACCACGGACTCATGCGATCCACAGTAGGAGCTCATGCGGGAAAGCTTCCTGCTCAATTCCTAAGCTTGGGGCGCCGTGGCGAATTCGTTTGATGAGATGGAGGGTGAGTTCTTGGAGTACCTGAACGTGGTGCTTCGGCCATGGCCGCGTGTGGCCGCCTATAGGCGGTCGGCCCCCGGCGACGGCGTCGGAGATCGACAATCGCTTCGTTCAGAGATGTTATAAAAATCGATGCACAACGGAGACACAAATTTTACGTGGAAAACCCTTACGGGAAAAAACCACGGGCGCCGACTGGCAATCATCATTATAGAGGAGTTGATTACAAACGTAGGGGAATAACAATGGGAACGTCACCCCTTCCTGTACGGCTTACAAGAGTATATATAGGGGATAAAAGAAAGACACCTAATAGGATAGACATAAAGTGCTACTAGGAAACTAATCCGAATATATTGTGGGCCCAAAATTCGGATCACATATTTAACAAGAAATCAAAAGAACATCGACACCGTACTGCGCCCATCGATTCCGTCAAGGGCGCCGTTACCAAGTTCGGATGAACTGTTGATTGGAGAGAAGTAAATTACATCGATCTCCATTGCTACTGATCTTGTCTTGTGGTTAAGCTTAGACAGTGATTAGCATTTTGATTTTCTTGTGATTTGCCCGTTTCTAGTGTCGACTGCTGCGTGCAGAGGCACAAACAAGTGCAGGGTGAGCTTGACCTGGTGCAGGATGAGGCCACCGAGTGCCACAAGAGATCAGAAGAAGCGGAGGCCGGCAAGGCACATGCGGTGAAGGACCTAGGCGGCACCAATGCGCCTTCTTGATGAGCTAAGACGAAGCTTGGAGAAGGCGCAAGCCGAGAAGGCACGAGCACGGCAAGACATGGAGCTCGCCGAGCTGCGTCTCCGAGAGACGCAGCGAGCGTCAGCGAGAGCCCTGCGGCGAAGTCGGAATTCGTCGTCGCCAGGGACCTCCATGCCACCGCCGAAATGAGCATGCGGCCGCTACCACTGAGGTGGACGTCCCCGCTTCCACCGCCCACCTGTGCGCTGCCCCTCTCCCACCGCCCGCCCACAGCTCCTCCCCTCACCACCGCTGCATCGCCCGTGGCCGGCCGCCGATGCCCTCGTCCTCTCACCGGCTGAGTCAAAGAAGGGAGAGAGAGATGAGGAAGGGAGAGAAGAGGGGAAGAGAGAGAGAGAGGAGGCTGAGGTGGTAGCCAGACATATGGGTCCCATGTTGGTCCCACGCTGACTCAGCCGCCACATAGAATAAAACCAGGGTCAAAACCGCCGAAAGACCTATTGTGACCGGTTTTGATTAGTTAAGGGGCACCGGATATCTGGTTTTGCAGTTGAGGAATGATTTTGTAACTCGATGATAAGTTGAGGGACCTTCGGTGTACTTTTTCCGTTTTTTTTGGCGTCGAGCCGTCGACGGCGTGCGATTGCCAATAAGATATCAGACGATTGGCTTAATGATTTGATGGTATGCTATACTGAGCGAGAGATATTCAAAAGTATTGATGATAATGCAATCATGAAGCGATTCCAAGCCTTGAAAACCCCCAAAATATCCTTTCCTCGTGAATAAATTGTAACAGCTTAGTGGTATGTGGTATGTTGCTTCTTTTAGTTAGCATTTGTTTACTTCTACCATTTATGCAATACTAATTTTGCTCATTTATATATTCAGGTGGCTGCTCACTTTACTCTTTGCTAAGGCCCAAGAAAATTAGCATCTTAAGTCAAGGACTCAAGGTATTCTTTTATAAGTATATTTTTCTATTAAATCATGTAAGTGTTACATTTGAATTGATAATGGCATGTGCCTTATTTTAGCATTATCAACTTAAATTTAGACTTCTAGTCCAGCCTATCCTCAATTTTTATCCTGGATTCGCCACTTGGGCTACCTTACACTAGTACAGATCCTTCCATCTGTGACGGCCCATAACAAGACTGGAATTTGCGGGCCGTCACAAGGAAGTAATTTCAATCGGGCCGAAGTTTCGCCCGATTGAGATATGGTCGCACAGCCATGGTATATCGGCATAAAACTAAAGCCCATCACGGATGACACTTATCTGTGACGGGCTATAGT